AAGACACACAAAGACAGCCACACACACACAAAGACAGAGACACACAAAGACAGAGACACGCACAAAGATAGAGACACGCACAAAGATAGAGACACACAAAGACAGAGACACACAAAGACAGCCAGACACACAAAGACAGAGACACACAAAGACAGAGACACACACAAAGACACACAAAGACAGCCACACACACAAAGACACACAAAGACAGCCACACACACACAAAGACAGAGACACACAAAGACAGAGACACGCACAAAGATAGAGACACGCACAAAGATAGACACACAAAGACAGAGACACACACAAAGACAGAGACACACACAAAGACAGAGACACACAAAGACAGAGACACACGCAAAGACAGAGACACACAAAGACAGAGACACACACAAAGACAGAGACACACACAAAGACAGAGACACACGCAAAGACAGGGACACACACAAAGACAGAGACACACGCAAAGACAGAGACACACACAAAGACAGAGACACACAAAGACAACCACAGAGACACACAAAGACAGAGACACACGCAAAGACAGGGACACACACAAAGACAGAGACACACGCAAAGACAGAGACACACACAAAGACAGAGACACACAAAGACAACCACAGAGACACACAAAGACAGAGACACACGCAAAGACAGGGACACACACAAAGACAGAGACACACACAAAGACAGAGACACACACAAAGACAGAGACACACAAAGACAACCATAGAGACACACAAAGATAGAGACACGCACACAGACAGGGACACACACAGATGGTGTAGACACAGGGGGGGGGGGCGCACTGGGGTCGTCTCACGCCCGCGTCTGGCAGTAACTACGAAATTTTTAGGGGGGGGGCGGGGGGGGGGGTGCCCCCCAATCTAGAGGCGAAGTTATCCAGCCCCCCACCCCGGGGGGCGGGGGGTGGGGAGAGACACAGAGGGAGGTGGACATGGCTCCTGGCGGCACGCAGTCTTCACGCCATCAACGTGGTGCACACACACCTTGTGACTCGCGTGGCCTGAACGTCTGTGGGACGTCGTGGCCTGAACGTCTGTGGGACGTCGTGGCCTGGACGTCTGTGGGACGTCGTGGCCTGAACGTCTGTGGGACGTCGTGGCCTGGACGTCTGTGGGACGTCGTGGCCTGAACGTCTGTGGGACGTCGTGGCTTGAACGTCTGTGGGACGTCGTGGCTTGAACGTCTGTGGGACGTCGTGGCCTGAACGTCTGTGGGACGTCTGTGGGACGTCGCTAAACCGTCGACTGAGTCGTCGTGAGTTCGTGTCGTGGTCGTGGTGACGTCTCTGCTGAGCTCAACTTCTTTCGCACCGTACGTAGCCAAGAGGAGGAGGTGCGGCAGGAGTTGCCGTGCTGTGAACTTTACGTCTTGGTGGTATCTCTTATAATCGGTGCGTTTTAAACGTAAATGCGACATTACAATTGTGTGTTTATGTATGTATTGTGTGTATGTGGACGTTGTATTAATGTCTGCTTTGGCGTCCGTCTAAACAGACGTTATGCTGACCTGTTGTAGATGTCTTGCCATTCGTGGTGTTTAGCTTGTGTTCATGTTATTTTGCAGCTTTTAATCAATCCAATGTTTGTTAGAGGCCTCCTTGCACGTCATGGAAGTTGCTTAGTCATACTTCACCACCCTGGTCCATGCGCTTTGGTGATGTTGGGGAGGCCTAGGAATTATATTGAGATCCCACTTGCCCCCATCGGGAATCACAACCATCGTGTACTTACTTAAACCCAAAAGTCATAACGATGATAAGTTTGTTTTCACAAACGGGTGGTGCCATAAAAGTTGGTCCGTGAATTTATAATCAACGTCGTTATATTTACTCAAATGTCATCTAGATTCGTACGGCATTACACGCCGTTTGTTGGTTACACCAGGACGTTCGTACGGATATAAATGTTACACTTTAGGACATTTGTATCATAATACTGTGCTGGACAGAACGATTGTTTTGGCTGTGACTGCAACGTGTGTTGTTAATCCTCAACATCGCCAGAGTCAGTCGACTGAAAACGTGGCCACGCATACACAAGATGATCTCTCGTATCCACGACCCGAGCATAACTCGTATTGTCCGTGGTCTTCCTTAAAAAAGTAAAAAAATTCCGCCGTATTTTTTCAAATAGTTACATTTATTTTGCTAAAAATTTTTTTTTGCTAAAAATAAATGTGCGTGGAGTGGCGGCCACTTGCCGATGATCGAGACCCAAGGCAGACACGAATACACATCAGCAGGGACATTGGATGTGAAGAGACACACACAGAGAGAGACAAAGACACTGGGATACAGACACAGAGACACGTGGAGAGACAGCCAGACACACGTGTGGTGTACAGTATACAATGCAGTGTCTATCGAGTGGCTTTACACTGCATCAGTGCATCTCGCACGACGCCTTGCTGCAGGTAACTAATTTGATATCTCTCTATATAATTGATGATGTATTGTACCGTGAGTTGGGTGCTGTAAGTAAATAACGTCGTTAACTTTATATAACTAACTCGTTACAACGGTTTGTGCGTGTTACAGTATTTAACTACCGTGTTAAGGCGATATTTAACTTGAGATGTCTTATTGAAATACTATACTTCGGTGTAAACGCGACAATGCAGTTGTGTATATTATACAAACACGTTAACATTGAATATGTATATATGCCGAATCGTCTAAATCAGGGGTCCTCAAACTTTTTAAACAGGGGGCCAGTTCACTGTCCCTCAGACCGTTGGAGGGCCGGACTATCGTTAAAAAAAAACTATGAACAAATTCCTATGCACACTGCATATATATTATTTTGAAGTGAAGAAACAAAACGGGAACAAATACAATATTTAAAATGAAGAACAAGTAAAGTTAAATCAACAAACTTGCCAGTATTTCAATGGGAACTATGGGCCTGCTTTTGGCTAATGAGATGGTCAATGTCCGGTTCCATATTTGACACTGCTAGTCGTAACAAGTTTATGCAAGTGTGCATCCGTTAGTCTAGATCTGGTTGGAGATTTCAAATGTTTCATTCTGGAAAAAGTCTGTTCACAGACATAAGTGCTGCCAAAGATGGTTGCCATTTTGAGTGCATGGTTCCTGAGATGAGGATATGTCTCAGAGGGGAGAGATGCATAGAAATTATGAAGGCTGCTTGACTTGAATGCGTCTTTCAGAGAGTCACAATTCTGCAGTTCAGCCAGTTCCATTTGGTAAATTGTATCCACATTTTCAATGTCAATAGAAAATGGGTTGCGGAAAAGCTGTATGTCCTGTTCATGGAGATGAAGCTCTTTAAATACAAATTGGAACTCCTTTTGCAATTTTTCCAGTGAATCCACACATGTTTTGTTTGGGAATGCAACCAATGGTTTTTCCGCTAACAGATTTTGAGTTGTAGGGAGATGGCAGAAGTTTTCCTCCTTCACTTGTTTGATGAGGAGGCCTATTCTTACTTCAAATGCTTTGACATGTGATTGCATATCACAGATCAGCTTCCCCTTTCCTTGAAGTTGCACATTGAAACTGTTGAGTAGCTCTGTTACATCTGTCAGAAAGGCAAGGTGCCATTTCCATTCTGCATCATTGAGCTCTGGTACTACTTTGTTTTTTTAAAGCAGAAAAGCTGTAATCTGTGGAAGCAAGTCATAGAAACGTTTCAAAACTCTCCCTCGACTCAGCCAACGGACTTCTGTGTGATACAGAACATCTTCATAGTCAACATTTAGCTCGGACAGAAATGCCTGAAATTGTCTGTGGTTTAGTGCATGAGCTCTAATGAAGTTAACACAAGATACTACAAATTTCATAACAGAGTCCCACTTCAGTGATTTACTACACAGCGCTTGTTGGTGGATGAGGCAGTGTATGGCTATTGGATGAGAATGGTTATGTTTGTCCATCTCTTGGTTAATGCGAGCAATTACTCCTTTCTTAGACCCCACCATGCTAGGAGCACCATCAGTTGTCACACTGGCTAGTTTAGCTCAGTTCAGCTCCAAACCATTCACAGTTTGGCAAACCTTTTCATAGATATCCTCTCTTCTTGGTTCTTTCGGTAAAGTCACGTAGAAGGGAAGTAATAAAATAATACAAATAAAACATAATAAAATAATTCTCACGACGTTTCGGCCACAACGCAAGCAGCCGTCCTCTGGTGAAAACCAGGTCTGTCGGGGAGACAGCGTCTGAATGAAACAGCACACGAGCTTGGAGCATATATAAGCTGGGTTGGAAACGGGAGAAAGAGCGCCTTGACAAGAATTTGCATATCAAGAGGAATTTAGCATATTTATGGGAAATGCAGGAATGTTATTAGTACTACATATGCAGCACGGGCTCCAAGCTCGTGTGCCGTTTCATTCAGACGCTGTCTCCCCGACAGACCTGGTTTTCACCTGAGGACGGCTGCTTGCGTTGTGGCCGAAACGTCGTGAGAATTATTTTATTATGTTTTACTTTTATTATTTTATTACTTCCTTTCTATGTGACTTTACCGAAAGAACCAAGAAGATGAATCCCTGCAGTCACGAAAGCTTTAAATCGAAAGATATCCTCTCCTGTAGTTGTTCCTTTGATGCTTTGCAGTGCAGCAAGCTCTTCTGTGACTTCGAAATAGTCATTCGTCGCACGAATAAAAATTTGAAGTTGTGCAGAATCACGAACATCATTGCTTTCGTCGAGTGCCAAGGAAAAATAGGAAAGTTTTTTTGTGGAGTTTTGCAAATGTGTATGCAAATTGTCTCCCATTTCTTCAATCCTCCGTGTAATTGTAGGTCCTAAAAGACTCACTGTACTAAATAAATCGGCCTTCTCTGGACACATCTCTTTGGCAACAGAAAGAAGGCATTCTTTAACAAATTCTCCCTCCACGAATGGTCTGCCAGTGCATGCTATTAGCTTGGAAACTTGAAAACTTGCTCGCAGTGATGAAATATTTAGCTGCTTCTGCTTCACAACACTATTTCGTTGAGTTGTTAATGTATTTTTCAGTTTTAATATTTTATCTTTTCTCACTTCTCCGACCAAACAAGCATATTTATCTTTATGTTGAGTTTTATAGTGTTGACGTAAATTGTATTCTTTGAACACAGACACTATATTCTGGCATATCAGACACACAGCTCTTTCCTTGTACTGCATGAAAAAGTAATCATAAGTCCACTGTTCTTTGAATATCCTACACTCCGAGTCAATTTTTCTCTTTCTTGACATCATTGTTTCCTAGGGAGTCAAAATTGATATTAGTAAAATACCAATATATATACAGCGCTACAAAAACAATATACCAGTAATAACTTTGCCCACACAGAGACATACAGACTGCACTGCCCATCAATGCAGTCTGATTGGGGGAAACTCCGCCCCCTCTCCCTCTTCCACCAATGACCGTCCTTCTCATGCAGAAAAAAAGTAACAGACAGGCAGCGGCGGCAAAAACACCCGGCGGGCCGGATAAATGTCCTTGGCGGGCCGCATGTGGCCCGCGGGCCGTAGTTTGAGGACCCCTGGTCTAAATGGACAACTTATACAGACTTGAGTGTGTATGTTGAACTTCTTTCGCACCGTACGTAGCCAACCGTGCTAATCGGAGGTAATGTCTTACCCTACATGGTAAACTTACATCATTATACAATGTGTAATTTAGCAGCCCTTAGCCAATCCTCTGTTTGATTAGAGGCCTCTCCCGCACCCTGCCGGGCATGGGAGTTGTTGAACCATACTTCACCACGCTGTCGGCATTGACACATTTGTCGTGTTCACATTACACTAACTATACGTGTGTAAACAACTATACTAACATAATACACAACCAGTGGCTGCTTTTGCGGCATTACCATTGTTTCTGCCCGCTTGCATCTCCAGAACTTGATCCTGAGCTATCATTGTCGCTTGATTAACATCCGAGCGCAGCGCTCCCGATTAATCAAAATTGTGCGATTCGTTTTTCCACATCCCCCTCTCCTTTTCTTCAGCTCCCCTGACTTTCCATTCTCTCTTAAGGCTCTTCCTCTGGAGTCTGGACAGGGGTTGTGTGTGGTTTTTTTAAACGCCAGTGTGGCCTCTTCTTGTTCTCACGAGACGTAACTTGATAATAGTTTTTTTACCCTTCTATCTGGCAACAAAACTGACACCTTTTTACAAGGAGTCATGTTTGCATAGACCGCAATACCTGCAGTCATAATACAAACAAAAGACATAACTCTGATAATGTGCACTGTCCTTGAAGTTGAAGGAAAGCTGTCTTGGGTGTGGACCAATCAACTTCAAGGACAGTGCACATTATCAGAGTTATGTCTTTTGTTTGTATTATGACTGCAGGTATTGCGGTCTATGCAAACATGACTCCTTGTAAAAATGTGTCAGTTTTGTTGCCAGATAGAAGGGTAAAAAAAAACAATTATCATATTTTTACTGGCAAATGAGGTTCCCATAGTGGAGACGTAACTTGTTTGCAACTCTGGGCTAAAGCCAAGCAGATTTCAGTGAGAGGACAGCGTTGAGTGTAAACTGGTAGGGGGTAGTGCGCGAATGTGCGTGGTGTGTAGCAGCCGGTGGGTCCGTGTGTGGGACAGCTTCATAGAGCAAGATAATAATAGGGTTACATTTACAGCTCAAATATCAGCTGATTTTCATACAGCAGAATAAAATGTGTTGGGTATACACGCACACATACAAAGTTTCCATGTATAGCCTTAGCAGATTGTTAAGGCTATTACACACCACACCAGGTGATAATTTAAAGCTGAGTCGACCGAGGGGAGCCCCAGAACCGGTTCAAATAATCGTCACTGGTGTTGGCCGTGAGCGGGAATCGAACCCGGGTTGCTGGGTTCCTAGAGCAGCGATGCTTACCGCTGTACTACCGCTCCCCACACACAGAAACGGAGATAGGGAAACATGGAGACACAGGGCAAGACACGGAGACACATTGTAATTTAAAGACTTCTATCAACCCTGATTTTGTTTGGTGGATAACAGGAGTTGCACAGCAAATTCATCCTTTTATTCACTCGTAATGCATGATTTTGTACCCCGTGTATGAGGAGTAAAGTCACGGATAATAGTATCTTCAGATATTAGTCCCCCATATTACCCCGGATAAGAGTTATCCTGGTATAAATTCAACCGACCGCAGATAGTTTATGGCTTTGTGAGTGGTAACATTGTGACACAGGGGTGTAATGCGCATGTCGTTTTGTCCTTTGTTTCAGATGTGTGAGAGCAACATGGCTGAAAGCAATGCTGGAAGCATGGCCTTCGCCACAGGCGACATCGGCAGCAGCATTGGTTCATCGAGTCCCGCTGGTGAGGGGCCAAGATCCCAGATAATCTTACCACGCGCAAAAGATACACCTGCGTGCAACGCGGCTATTGCTGGATCGGCACAGTGTCTGGGGCCAATCTCGCCAAAAATGAACCCGCTGCTTTGTCTGTATCAGATGGCCGGCAGTCACCTGAGTCAAATAGAAAATTCATTACGTGAGGAGACGTCAAATTACAATGAACCTTACACTTGGATGAAAGACATTGAAAAAACTAAGAAATTGTGTGAGATGGTTCAGACACTGAGTGATGAAGTCAGTCCTCTTATCCAATTGAATGCTGATGCAAAGTACAAATGTGAAACTTGCAAAATAGGTTTCAAAAGAGCGAGAGAGCTTAAATGCCACTGCCAAGTTTATCACACGCCTGAGCAATGCACGTTTTGTACATTTACATCCATAACCACGCATGAAATGAAGGCACACATTGGGAAATACCATGCTTCACCTGTGCCCATCTGGACCCCACCTGACCCCGATGGAGCTGCTGGGTCAAGAACAAGTATCACCTGTGAAGTCTGTGGGAAAACTTTCCAACAGCTGTGGTACCTTAAATCCCACATGAGAACTCACAAGAAGACCTTTGACCATAGCTGCAACATCTGTACTCGACGCTTTAAGGAGTCCTGGACACTCAAAATGCATATGAAGACCCATGAGAAAAAATACACTTCAAGGGCTGCGTCTGAAAAAGTGTATCCTGCCATGGTAAAGGATGGCAGTCCTGCCAACGCAGTGTTGATAATACCATCGCCCTATGAAATGTGCTCAGTGTGTGGATTTTTGTGTCCGATTGAAATCTTGAAAACTCATGAAAGTCTTCACACGCAGTTCTTGGACAGACCGCATCGTGAAAATGATGACACTTTGACAGCAGTTAGCGGAGTTGAGACAAATGATGTAAAACTCAATTTTCTTGAATGCATTGGCCTAGTTACGCATCGAGAAGCTGTTTCACCAATCATTAAGAACAATCCATACTCTGCTCTGGATCCTATTACAGGCATTGAGGTTTTGATGTCCTTGCAGCAAAAGAAGAAAAATAGATGGCGATCTAGGTCCAGAAAACAACGCATGGACTTGGATGAAGACAAAACCACCTTTCTGTCTCCAATTAGAATACAAAATTCCAGCTTCAAAACTAAGCCAATGGGGCAATATCAACATGTGGAGGAGGCGTCGTCCCAGTCTTGCGAGTCTATGCAAATAATTGGCAATGCAAACGAATCAAAGCTTAAGGGTAAAAATAAAGACTCAGATTCCTCATCATTGACAGTGACTCAAAGTAATGGCAAGAAAAGGAAGGGAGATGAAGGTAAAAACCAAGGCTCCTGTTTGGTGACTGAGAAAACCTGTCAGAACAACAATGAAAGTCAAGTTGGTACAGTGGGTGATGTATGTGCAGATGCTATTGAAAAGGCCATTAATGCTGTGGTTACACAAGATGCCTCAAAGGTAGATGTCAGCCTGCGGGAACAGAACAGTGGCGGCACATCCAATGAATGTCTGCGACCCAAAGAGTGTCCGGACTGTGGAAAGGTTTTCAAGACGTTCCGTCAAATGATGCTTCACTCTCGCGTGCACAACAAAGGCAAGAAGGGCCGTGTTGGCATGCGTGGTGATGTGTGCATGCATGGCGATCCTCACCACTCGCCTGGCAGCTCGGAGACTACAACGAAATTTCAAGTGCCCACCGTACCAGCCGAAGACACAGAGCCACTTGGATTTGTGAAGAGTATCTCTCCAGCAGGTGTGCACTTTTGTTATACATTTGGGAAAAGAAATTAAGAAAAATGTGAAACTTTCTCAATTGGATATCGTAGTAGTGCTATTTGTAATGGCATATACCAACTTTACTTCAAATGTAATATGGCATTTTTTAAATAACATTAATTGTTGAAAATGCTCTGTTTTATGAAATCAGTTTTTGCCATGCCATAAGTGTTGTATAAATTTGGTTTGATAATACATTGAATTGTATGCCTTTCAACATTGCAGGTAAAGGATATGAAAACTTATATTTTGTAAAATTAGAAAAAATTGTTCCAAATTACAAATGTGTATCTGTAAATTAAATTTAAGTCCTGTCATTTGTCACAGTCAAATGTAATATTTAATAATATATTTTCTCTCTTAGGACAATGAAAATAAAATTGTGCTCAAGTATAAGTTGTTAAATATCACTATTAATTTTCTCTTTGTTTTTACAGCTAAAAAGTCAGTGACGATGCAGTTGTCCAGTGGACAAGCTGTTCAGACCAAACCCTTGCGAAATATTACATTGAACATCCCTACCAATGCAGCGGCTCTGCGGCAATCAAGCATCCATATGAAAGATAATATCAACTCTTGTTTGGCCAATATGACTTCTGTACCCATGGGCAATTACTTGACGTTTGACACTGATAGTTCAGCCCTGTCTGTTGGCAAAAGCGCCTTGATGCAGGTTCATCCTTCAGGTCAGACAAAGGCCAATGGACCAGTGGGCTGTTTAACATCTTTCAACAGAGCCACAGGGGAATTGAGCCAAATGAGTTTAACGAGTAATGAGCAGTCTGGGTTTTACTGCACGTCCAATAGTCGCTCGGATCAATGCGTGACCACTTGGAGAACAGATGCTGCCAAATCCGCTGATGCTACAAAGAGCAATATAGCAGAACATGACCAGTTTGAACCTCTGGATTTGTCCGTTAAGTCCTTGCTGCAACGCGCCAGTACACTCATTGAACAAAGGAAGCCTGCAGTTGTGCGAACACACGAATGTCAGCTCTCCCAATCTGAATCTCATATGTCAAGCAGACCCCCCTATATTACTCCAAAGAACCAGAGCTCAGAGTGCAGACTAGGAACGATTCAAACTACATCCAATAATGTTTCTAGCAAATACAATGAATTACACGAGCCATTCTTCACACATACAGGTCACTGCAGTGAAAATACTGAGTTTCCTTTGTATTACATGGAACCCAAGTATATGCAACATTCTCCAATGGATCTTTCAACTCGTGCTCAACCATATGCGCAACGCTGTGGACAAAGCAAAACATGTCAGGCAATAGCAAGCTCCTTGCAAGCATCCGCGAGTCTTCATGAGGTGCATCTTTTAAAAACAGATTTGGCATTTGAGATAGAAGACAAACATTTAAAAAATGACCTTGTGCAGCAGATTGACTTCCAGCAAGCGCTCGAGGTAGACAGAAATTACTTTGGAATAGATGTAGTAAAGCAAACATTAGAGCACATCAAATTGGAGAACCCAGTTGAACGTAATGCTAGCATGTTGGAGCCAGGTCCGGTTTTGCCAGAGACTCAAATGTCCATGAAGCAAGAACCAATGGAAAATGTGGATACTTCACTGCAAGTACTCCGAAGCGTCTGGGAGAGCCTGGAGTTGCGTATCGAGGACACAGTTCATCCGTCCTTTACTACAAGCGATTCCGACAGTGCTAAAACTGCGATGCGAGAAAACGATACCGTATCAGCGCTGCGCAAAGAGCTATGCATGCCTTGGAACTCTGCTGTTGGACAGATGAAAGATATCTCGGACCACAACATGAGCTGTAGCGATAGCAGCATAACCAGTTGCAGCAGCAGCAGCCAGATTTCGGACGTAAAGAGGATGGACTGCACGGAAGCGAGAGGCTGGTGCCGTGTGGAGCAGAGCATCCCCAAGACATATGAACCCAACCTGGCACCTTTGAGTACGTCCGAGTATGCACACACATTACATTTATAAATTGTATACATTTATCTGCACGTAATGGATACCTTCACAAATGCAGTCATGTATGTACTGTTGAAAACGTCTACATTTTATACATAAAATGGGTGACTGGGGTGGGTCAATGTAACTGATCTGGAACTGCAATGATCCTTGGTTAAATTGGATTTCAGCCACCTGGCCATGATTAAACCGGCTTCTCAAGTGCAATGCCCCCTAGTGGATAGAAAGGTCACAGGGATTTCAGAAACAGTGCTATGATATCTCCTTCCACGAGCACTATTCACAGCGTGGTGAAATTCTGTGCATGAGTTCCACGTGGATACTTGGACTCATGGCATGACGCGAATAGCACTCTTCGAATAAAACTGAGCAATGCATATTTTTTTGCGAAATTCGTTACAGCCACTTGCAAATTACTAAATTGTAAACTCACATGGCAACATCGCCCCCTATGGGCAGACCCTACCCATCTGTGAAATATAGCACCGTTGTTGTATAATCCTGGCGCTAACCCCTAAATGCACTCGTCATTTGCCATTGTTTCTAGAAATCAGGTGGGCCAAACCTAAGCCAAAGAGGCACAGGTGCGGGGAGTGCGGCGTGGCGTTCGGCCAAGCCCAACAGCTGCATCGGCATTCCTACACTCACTCAGGTTAGCCTCCAACGCGCCGCGTGTGCGAAAGCGCATGGAGCAGGTCGCGAACACCGTGGCGGTCATTCGTAATTGTCTTTTTTTTTCCCACTTCACGAGCGTGCTAAGGATAATGTGTCCTGTACGCGTTTCAGAGTCAATACTAAACGATGGCACAATAACACATTCCATCATTTTTTTTTTAAAGCGGCTTACACCTTGGTAGAGAGTTGGAAGGCAGCGAACCGGAACAGTACCCTTTGTACGCTCGTGAAAATGATGTTAATTATACTTGACCCCGAGGCACCTTGAGCAATCCTATAACTGATACTTCTATGCCATAAAACTGGGTCTCCTCACACTGTGGTCTTTGAAGCTAAATTGAGCTATTCCGCATTAAGATATGTAGTTTATGAGCGAAACTATTTATTTCCTTGAATGTGCATTGTGGAGACGAACGTTCATTTCTTTAAAGAGATTAGTGGATTGAACGCAGTCAAGACATGCACATAACATTGGGTGGAGTGGCGGCGCAGTGGTTAGCGCACTGCATTTTGAATCGGGCGACCCTGAGTTTAATTCCCGACCAACAGTTCGCATCAAAGTGACGAGCGGTATCTGAACTGCTTCTTTAGGCCCATCCTTCATCAACCCTCAACCCGTGCGAGGGAGCATGGTGAAGTATGGTCAAACAACCCCCACGACCAACACTGTGTGAGATGGCCATCAGCAGTGGATGGGCAGAGGGCTGTAGATTATTACTTAATGGAATTTACATTAACCTCTTTATTACATGTTAAAATATAAAGTCCAGTGAAATTTGTTCAACTTATATATTATCCCCACTGGCCATTAATCCTTGTTTGACTTATCTGTCTGTAATTTTATCTCACCAAATATCTGTCTGCAGCGTCTACCAGTCCATCTGTCAGGAGTATTTATACGTCATCCGAGCTTTTAATGTAATCTGTATAAAATTGTGTCGGCAAAACAACGGAGACGCAACATACAGTTGACGGAATGCTCCTTGTGATGGCAAATGGTCACATACTTCTCGTTGACATAGTAGAGTCTTGGCTTTTCAAAAGGCCTTGCACAAATAAATAAAACACATACCATATATGTGAGGATGGACGACAGCTTTTATCTGTCGTACATTTAAGGTTTCTATAGTAATACGCAGCGATGTAATTAGATGGGGTGAGCGTGTTGTTCTTTTAATTAAACATTTTCATTCTTTGGTCGAAAAGTTGGACATATTCAGGAGCACTGGTTGATCCCTACACTGAATTAACACCTTTACTGCCTGGAATAGTTTCAGCTTTTTTGTGTGTCACGAGAGGTTTGTAACTATTAACTTTTAAATTAACATTTCTTTTCAATTTAATGAGCAGAGTGGACTTTTGCCAATGTTTGTAACATGCCTAACCAAATTTACTTGCATACTGAATTATTATGTTGCCTTCAGGGACAGACACAAATGGGGGTCACTTGATTGTGTTATCGGCAGCTAAATTAATTTACATTATATAGGCCACACATTTTCCAACAGTTTTCCTTTATAGCTCACAGTATACTCAGGCATGCGATGAACACGAATTCATTGTTGTGGCTGTCTAGCTCACCCTACTGGCAAATACCACATGTTTACAAATCATGCATTATTGTTTTAAGTGCAAAAGGTATCTCTATAGCTTATTTATAATTTTCCAGGGTCAATTACAGGCGCAGGATGACGTGGATTTATAATCGACAATGGTATCATTATACAAAGCTTGGAAAAAAAGATCACTCGCATCAGATATGACTTGTTTATGAATACCATCCGCGTAGCATACTCCTGAGCTAACACTATCGTTAGACAATCTACTGTATGCGCATAAACAAGAATTCCAATTTTTTTTAACACTTCCCTCCCTTTTTGGCGAGATTTTTTTTGTTGCATCCGTGTGGAGGATGTTACCACAGTCAGCCAGCCCTGCCTGTTTGCTTTAGCGCAGTACATTGCTAAGCACTTGCTTTTTATAATGCACGTAGGGTGGGTGTAACTGTGGAAGGAGCTGCGTTAGCGGGTGGATATGCATCACTTGAAATACAGCGGGTGTGTGTGTACGTGCGATTGTTTGCCCTCTCGCTGTCGACGATCAGTAACTTGACATTGAAACAGAAGGTTTATTTCGTCCGTAACACGAGCAACCCTAGCTCTAACCCTGCCTTACTTATAAAGTTCTGCCCCATTTAGATTAAATTGAAATTTAAATTGAAAATGCCTCATGTAAAATGGGGTGAGCCCCTGCACCCCGATATTTGTAATGTAAGCGGTCGGGTGCACAGAATGATCCTGATCACTTTGGCAACAATAATAAGGTGGTTGCCGCGGGAAGAGCAAATCGTGCTGCAGTGAATTTCATTCTTTTAAAAAGAAAGGCATTACTGCGGTGTAAAAAAATCGAAATAGAATTTTGAGCACAGATTAACTTTCACCTGCTTAACTCGCACATTACTTTTGGCACGTGAACACTAAACAGGCTTTACGCCCCCTGCACGTCTCAACAAAACCGGATTAAACTATTTGTACAGATGCCGGCACTGGACATCCGCTTTACAGAGCGTCGTCGTCTTGGCGCATTTGCGCCTCCCCGCTCCCCACCCCCCGCCGGTACGAATTGCCGGACGCGGGGAACGCTTTCACGAATAAAATCATGTAGCCAGAGTTGCCACCGCATTGCTGGACAGTTAGGGCCGTGCATCTTGCCCAATGGGCAGCGCTTGAAAGTGCCGTCTCGCGGCCCCGCTGCTTAGCCAGTGGCCGGCACCCGCGCGCGTCATGTGACCGCTTTCAGGGCGCCTCCTGTCCCCACCGGAGTCAGGCCCGCTGCCTGCTATCTGGCGACGTGGCAGTCACTGGCTGTAAGAGAGATTGATTGCCCCTCCCCTACTCGTGTCTGCTGTAATTGTGAAATATTACTTACATTAGTGCATTGTTGTTGATAAATGAAACTTATTTTCCCTGAGTCACCCATTATTCCTTGCCGAAATTTCATGCCTCTCCGTGTAAGATAAATCATCCTGGGGCTAGATAAATATCCGCTGCAATGAAAGAGAGTGGTAGGGATCAGCGCTGGGTGTTTATGGAGAGATGAGCGGCAAGAGAGAGGGGCCGGCTACTTGAATGCTGCCGTAAGGCGTTTTTGTAGCCCCAAGTCAGCTGTTTCGGGTGACCAGGCACATAATTACAGCAAATTAATAGTTAAAATGTGCACAAGCAGTAAACTCAATATTGATGGCCTTAAAAATGTACAGCCTGATCCGGAGCGAACACGTTTTTGCAACGTGGCAAAACAAAAATGTGAATGTCTCATTAAAAACCGTGGACAACACTTTGTAATCATAGCTTACATTTTATTTAATCACATATTTATGAAATTTCATGCATTAAGATGAAGAATACTCCATCGTATAGCTTTCACTTAAGGGGGGACCTTTTATACACTGGGAATATATTACTTTTAATATAAATTGAGCTTCATATGGCCACATTTTTGGCACACCGTGGCCTTCCACGGAAAGCTATCGGCACGGGATCTTTGAGCCCCCCACGATTGGGTTGCATTACAATACTTGGGCGCGGTTCGCAACTCAGCAGCAGCGAAAGTCACCTCCGACGACGTAAATGATACTGCAATGTCCCACACAGTTCAAGAGACATCTTGCCTTCATCTACAGTGAAATTGAACCATAAAAGTAAATACTCAATGGTGGCGCATGCAGTAGAGTCGTTTAAGTGCCTGGCAATGTTGGAGGAAAAGAGACAAGCGGCACATACCGGCGTAACCAAACCCGCCCCGCATCCTCCCCAGCTTCCAGAAGTTCAAACTCGCATGTTATACTTTAATGGTGATGGAGTGTGCAGTGGCAGGAATAACACTTTTAATCTGTGCAGATGCGGCTTACAGTGGCTTATGTCTGTAATGTTTTTGGATTGGACAGGTACCAAGTTGAACCCAGGAGTGGGTCTCTAAACACACGCGCGCGCGTGTGTGTGCGTGCGCCTACACACGCGCGCACACACACCCATAGGGGTTTCTTTTGCAAAAGCTCCCCCCTTCTCCCTACAACATAGCGTCCTGCTCCAAAGCCCACATGCTCTATTATTCACAACTACCAGGCAGCATTACTCTTTAAGCAGTCGCTTTAACACCGTTACAGTGTTATGTAATCAGAGGATGACCGCATCGCAGACCACTTGTAAAGTGAAGGAATTTAGCTGCACTTTCAAAGAGGGCGTCTATGCGGGCTCCGGGTAACAGCGTTGGCTGAAATGTAGGGAGGGCTTGACTGGCTGTAGGGGTGGGGGGGAATTGTGTGTGTGTGTGTATTATGGGCAGCTGGGGGTATTTGTGTGTGTATCATAGGATGGGAGTGGGGGGGGGAATTGTGTGTGTGTTTGTGTGTATTATTGGCGGCTGGGGGTATTTGTGTGTGTGTGTGTGTGTATTATGGGCGGCTGGGGGTATTTGTGTGTGTATCATAGGATGGGAGCAGCAGAGGGGGGGGGGGGATTGTGTGTGTGTGTGTGTATTATGGGCGGCTGGGGGTATTTGTGTGTGTATCATAGGATGGGAGCAGCAGGGGGGGGGGGATTGTGTGTGTGTGTGTATTATGGGTGGCTGGGGGTATTTGTGTGTGTGTGTGTGTATTATGGGGTGGGAGCGGAGGCGGGATCTGCACTCGAGATTAAGGAGTGGGTGATTGTGTTGTGGTGGCATCCTGGCATTCCTGGCGGCACGTCTGCTTTACGTGCCATCGCTGCGCCAAGCAAGCGGCGTCGCTGGCGGTCTGGACACACACCAAGCTGTGCGAGGGCAGGATTAGCGCCTCATCCCAAATGTCAGATTTTCCAGAACTGAGCAGACACATCGGAGCGGAGGGGAGGGATCTATTTTTTTTCAACAGGAAATGGGATTTTGAGCTGATGTGTTGACACAAAGTATGAAAAGCCCCTGTATATTTTTGTCCTCGTTGAATGCATAACACATGTAAAGTAGGTAACGGTACACATGTAACCGCACACTTTGTAATCATCTGGACAAATTACCTATCTTAAGTTGGGTACTTACGACATTAGACACGTAGCAGAACTATTTAAATATGTATATGTTAATGTTAGTTTTAATGCATAAAGGGTCGGCGACATTGACGGACATGACCGAGAAGCAAGAAAGGGTGTGCTTGTGTGCGTTTCCGAAAACATTACCCACACACACAACCCTGCCTCCCAGGTAGAGTGGGTGTGATAGGTCCTGGCAGTGTGTGACCTGGTTCAAATGCAGCAGCTGCTGCAGCGACCAGGGTGTCCTGAACAGGAAGGAAATTGGAGACAGTGATTTGTGGCTCAGCCTTTTGCTTGTTTTGGCGCCAGTCACACGCCCTGGTTGTGCGGGCCTCGCTGAAAAGCACTTGCTGGTCCGCTCGGTGGACAGAGCCGAAATAGTGCGTCTCACAGGCACGGCCCAAATTGAAAAGTTTGGGCCACTCAGGACACTACCACAATGGGGGAATGTGCTTTAATATCGTGGCTTTTTTGTATCTGAAAGTCTGTGTAAAGGTCGAGTTATAGCCCTGCAATTGTTTGCTGACATCACTGCTAGTGGAAGGGCCTCCACTAGACGGAGCTCTAGAGAGCCTATCCAGGGGGTATTTGGCCTACTCTTTCACGCTCGCCAGATGTCTCGGAAGAGGTGGGAATAACCACACTTTACCTCACCATATGTGGGAGGGGTGGGAGGGCTCTGGGCAGTCAGGATTTAAGAAGCTATCCCATCTCAATTGCCGTACCGGGAGATCAAAGCAGCGACCTCTGGATTGCAAGTCCACTATGCTAACCATCACACCATAGCAGCATAAAGTTAAAGTAATTTAAACAAATTCTTCTCAATTGGCTCCATAAAGCACCGAACGAATGAACCCACATTTTTTTCACCTCCTCTAACCCCTGGGACTCGGATTTGAATGTAGCCTGATTAACTGGCAGATTCACTTCCCTCACCTCACCACGCCCTCACCTCTTTCACTCTTGATATACGCACAATGCTCTTTGCAAATTGAAACCCTCATCGAAATGTTCTTGCCGTATCCAGTTGCGCGCATGCCTTCAGATGTCGTGTTTTTCCGCGAGCTTGATTTCAATGAAACGAGTGTGATATGAAGTAGATTTGACTTAAATAATATTTTAACGTCGCCATGCTAAAGATTGATTTACCATGAGACAATTGCTCTTCCTACCGCCGCATTGTTACAGGCTTTGGAATATCAGTTACAATTACGTGATGAATGAAGGCAAAGCCTGAGCAGGCCGAATGGAGCAATGTTCAGTGATGAGTTACACTCGAGACAACTCGCACATTCCTGCTGCTCATGACTGAATGGAATTTTTCAAAATATAAAAAAAAGAAACTCATTGTTGTTCTCTTGGCCAAATAGCATGAAAGCAACATTAAAATGCTGTGGATTCTGGAAGCAGCTCACAGTCCGAGCATCAACGTGGACATTCAATAGGAGGCTGCATTTATAGGGCAAACTTTTTAACTGTCATTCACTCACTTGTAATTCCATGTGGTGCAGTGGTTTAGCCCGCTGCACTGTGTACCTGGCGACCTGAGTTGGGATTCCCGGTCATTGCTAACGTGGGTGGAGTGAATCAGAATATTTATTTTTTACTTGAGGAATCCGACGAGCGATAAAGATATTTTTCACAGATGTCCAGTTGGGGTGAAATCTGACACAGTCCTTGATCCCCTCCCCGCTAACCCTCACTGACCAGCGTGGTGAAGTATGTCCAAGAAACCCCACTTATGACTCACACCATGTGCGGGAGGCCTTCCATCCTGTATTCCTTAAAGTAACAATGCATTTTCTTTCATTAGAGTTATTAGTATCGGAAACGTAACTCTGTTCATCTCAGATAGGGGTTAATCACTAATATTGATGTTAAAGTGTCCCCTAGTAGCAATCTTTGTGTTGGCGTAGAAAATAATATAAACTTATGAGTATTATGAGAATAGGTTTTCCCTGATGATGAGTAAACTGATGTGTATTATTTATACTCTTTGATTCTTTCGGTAAGGTCATGTAGGTACAAAAATAAAAATAGATCACGACGTTTCGATCGCCACACAAGCAACCGTCTTCAGGTGGGAGTGAAAAGTTCTCACTCCCACCTGAAGATGGATTCCTGCAGTCACGAAAGCTTCAAATCAAGATTGAGTATTATTTAATGTCAACAAGTGGGTCAGTTCTGAGAATGTGTTAAATGCTAGGACCAACTAATTTGTATCACTGTTCTTTCCTTTTCAGTGTACTAAAGCGTAACTTGCACCCACATGTACTCATTCTATGACAGGTCATTAGGTCATAATTAATTGCCTATATTCGAATGACGTGGCTCCACCACCTCATAGAAAGATTATAGTTGTTGCACAGCCATCAGAAGAAGAAGCAGGAGTGCATAATGATGGGGGCTTCAAATTCAGGCCAACACTTAAGTTCCCCTGGTATTTTTCAGAAAAAAAATTATCTTGTTTTTCTGTCTTTTGTTGCTGGCCACTTGGTATTTTGAGCCTTTTTGGGCCTGGGGTCTGCAAACATGACGAATGAAACATCTCGATATACGTAGTAACACTGTGGTGAGAGATAAATTATGGAATGGCGTTGGTGTGCTCAGTGGCGGACGCCTTGTGTTCCAGGCGAGAAGTCCTTTCGGTGCAGTTACTGCCCATACGGAGCAACGCAGAGGGTGAACCTCAAAAAGCATGTCCTGAGGATTCACCACCTGCCCTTCGAAAACACAGAGTACTCTGACAGCCCCAGCAAGAGGAGTCGGTTGGACACTGAGGCAGCGTCGTAACTCCGGATTTGGAGCGCGAGTGATGCACGTGGAGAACTCGACAATTATCTAGTTCATCCTGAGGCTTAGTGCCACGTGTATTGATGAACACAAGCGTGCAGCCCTTTTGGTGTACGCAAATATTTCCGTGATGAAAAGTAGTCACATTTACTGGTTTAAGAATAAGTTTGGTGCTGTATTTGTTTTTCTTTGTATACAAATTATTTCATAAATGATGAATAAAAAAAACTTAGTTGAAAAAAATATGACATTTAAGAGTAATATTTTCCTAAAACATTACATTTGTATTTGCAGTGTTTATATGCCACCTTGATTTTCAAATGTGTTTCTGGTGACGGCACCTTTAAGGTGATGGACTTTCAAACAGTCCTAATTTATTAGTATTTTTGTACGTACTAATATTATTGTTGTGTGCGCGGTGTGGTCTGTGGATATCGTTTTTTGGATAAAACCAAGACAAAGATTTATTTGCAAAAGCTGTGGCTGCTCTTTCACCTCTAGGTGGAGACGCTGTGCAAACGCACCCTGAAGCCGGGCCGCGAGGACTTTGGCTGAGGGTTAGCGGCAGTAACAACCCCCCCTCCCCCCCCCGACTTGCTGTAAATATTGCCAAGGAAGAGCACCGTCCTTCTTTGGCACTTTAGATGGTGCACATTTTAAAAAGGCGCTACTGAATGTGAATGATCTCGAATGGAGTATGGCAGCGGTTTCCGTCCTACCTGTGCATTCAGTGAATGTAATAACATATCCAGATTGGGTTCCTTTTGAGCTTGCTGCAAGCATTCACAATTATTTTACGGGTGACAAATATGACATTTGCCATCTTGTGCAATGATTAAGTAGACTACCCTGGTGAATTGCGCTACAATGCGGCAAATGTCCTCCCCAACTGTGAAACACTTCTAATTGAATGTTCTCTTCGTGTACAGATGATCATATTTTTTTCCGATTTTGTTCCAACATTAGTCACTATTGGATGCAACGTGTACGAATCGTATCCTGGGAGCCCATAGTGTTTTTGATAACAGAAGTTGCATCCTTTCAATACAAGGAATTACTTTATGGGTTTGTCACAGTGTTGAATAATGGCTTAAAATGCATTAAAGGAACCACACATTTCAAAGGCGCATTGCAAATTGTATGGAATGCATCGCCTGTAAAACTATATCTGTGTGCGTACTCCGGGTATGGATTGTCAGTAAACACGTCTGGTTTTAAATTGACAGAACTCAAGCTGCTGCCATATTCTTGATTACGGACCCTGCTAAGTAAGCATTCATCGTGCAAACCTTGTGGTTGATTTATTTGAATCGCCCTGCTCAGGAGCCCACACGGTTTTCTGCTGTGGCGAGGTGTTTACGTAAGTTGTGGAAAAGCGCGTAACCGTGCGTGTACAATGCACTGTACCACATGTTAGTGTGAAGTGAGCCAGGGACTTTGTCACTGCCTACCATTGTGTATAAATAATCTCCGGGAATCCAATAGCACCGTGCGTTCACGGGCAGGTGGGCTTTCTCATCTTTTGTCTAAACAGCGAAATGCAAGTTGCCGCATTGGCGAGCGATCAGCTCTTGCTGTTATTGTCTTAGCAAGCTTGTGAACACACAGGTGATTAAATAAGCGTTTGTAACACCCCATTAAACATACCCAACACACCTGAGATGATAGGCAGGCCCTGGCAAAGTTTCTGCAAGGTTCTCGTTTTGTGCGACTCGAGTTAAGGGGAAATTACTTTTTTGGCATTTTTTCTTTTCATCACCCTCATAGCCAGAGCCTTCAGTGAAAAGCCATATACAAATTCCTGCGTTCAGTGAATAAGGGCCCTACGTAAATATTATATTTAAAATATAACATTTGGTTATCACATATGAATAATCATAATACTTCCATTATGGCACACCGATAATAATACTATTAAACCAACGCCCCCCATCTGTGATACAATGAGTAAAGGACATTTGCTTATACGAGAGGGCATTCATCATATTCAGAGGAATCGACTGAAGCTTTCAACAGGATGCATATAAAACGTACCGCACGCAAAAATCTGTAAACAAGGCCTTAACACATACCTGTGAAATTGAATACAGGAACAAAGGTTATTTTCTTGTGCTGTCATTTGCATGAAGTGGTTCTGTCCTGGTAGTCTGGAAAATGTATAAAGATTTCAATAAATATTAAAGCATTCTCCATCTGCTTGCAGACATATTCATGTACAAAATTAAAAAGTGGGAAATTTACGCATGCGAAAACATGTTTTCGCATGCTGAAATTCAGTGAGATTTATTTGCAATGTGGATCATTGCTTGAAAGGTCAGCTCCATGTCTTCCACATGCACTCTCCCAATTTAACTACAGTCACATCTAAATAATTTTATTCCGCATGTCAACACTGCGTAATGACTGTTCATCTATGAAACGCGTCATTGAGATGATTTGCATTTCTTAAGGGGCTGAGCATTATGATTTGCCCATGCATTAATAAAGTAGCCTTCTCTGCTGGAACGCGTACAACAGCTATTCGTGTTGTAATTGGCAAGACTGCAATTCTCGCCTATTTGTTTCCTTCTACACAATAAGAAAGCAATTTCATTATTGATCTGGACACAACATGATAGCAGTTTTATATATACAGTATAAGGTTTCCCGGTTTGTTCCGAAATGTAACGTGGTAATTCACTGTTATGGTGCCATCTTTACATTTTGCACGTTCCAGTTTACATATGTATTTTGTACTAATTGTAGTGCCTTCGCGACCACAGGGTGTGTATTGTATTTGTCGTTGGCAGGAAGGTGTTGCCATTGACTGGTCTGTGGAATGAGCACTGTTACATTTTGTTTAAATAAATTGCACCATTGCCTTCGGCTTGAAAACTATTTGTTCAGAAGTGATTTCGTTTTTGCGTCATCTGTCAAAAAGATGTATTGAGGCTAGTTTGGATTGTTGAAACAATAAATATTTTCCTTCATAATGTCACTTATGACTTTCTCCCCTAGCCCCCACCCATCCCTCCAACCCCACTACACTCTTTTCCTGCCAGGCAGATTTTAAATACAAGAGTGCCTTGTTTAAATTACTGCACCATTATTCATTTTGAAACGACACTGCAGGCACCGCAGGCCTGCAAAATTGAAAATATTAGAAGGCAATGGGTTTTGTACAAAAAGGGTTAATTCAATATCGTAGGACTTGCCACCAGTTTCTATTGCCATTTCTCACATTCGAGTTTGATGTTGATATCCTCACACCTTTCATCATTTGACTCGTTCCCGATGTCATGAGTGTGGGTGCAAACCAAAAAAAACGAGACAGGGTTCATCTAGATTAATTTGTGCTGATAGCAGCTTAGAGATATATTTACATTGAGGTACCTGTATCGAGGGCTTGTTATGCCTTTACATTTCCATGCCTTGCTTGCACTGATGGGGCCTCCTGAACTCCTTCCCTGTGCACGATGATCCTAGTAGCAAACGTAGCTACATATGCTACGGGGCCCGCACTTTCAAGGGCCCCTACGGTTAAGTGATTCTGCACTTACTCTATTCCTATAGTACTATACAGCCTTCAACCTTTATGAACGATTGTGTGTTTAAGGTTAGCGATTTGTCGTATTATCTGGAGTATAGCAAATGAAAAAATACAATTACTTTACTATGCAAGTAAAAACAATGTGTGTTTTAATATTCATTTGTGTGTTTTAATTTTTTTTATTTAGGGACCCTTTGTAACATTCTGCAGGCTGCGTGCACTAGCTTACTCCAGCACTGCTTCTTCCCGATGATGTCCTGAAATGGATTCCATGTCGCACACCGTTATGAAAGCGGGGGCCACATTTTGTGACAGTCTTTAATCACCTGATGGCATTTACTGATGCCTCTTTTGAAATGCCTGGAAATGTCAGGAAATATTTTGTATGCCATTTCAAACAAATGTAAAACTAAACTTAAAGCAGAGCGAATATGGCATGAAATAAAAATTCGCGTTACCTTTGTGAAGAGGAAAAAAACCGCACATCTTACCTGTTGGTATTTCTTTTTTGGCCTGAAATTTCAATGGAAAATTTTGAAGTCCCTTGTCACGAATTTGTCGGGAGTCGTAAAATACAGAACCTGCACGCGTGGTTAATGTTTTGATTTCCTGACGGATGATTTATCTCTGCCATGGCTATATATGTACATCCACACTATTTGGAAGTAGATTAACAACATTATTCCACATGCCATCACACAAACCGGGCACGGCGTTTGAGCTGGTAAACTGGCTGCTCCAGCTGAGAAAAATGAGAATGCATAATGAACAGATCCCGACGAATGTTAACACATCAGTTTTGTTCAGTCTTAAGGAGCGTATAATATAAAAATGTGAACACTTATAATGAAAGAGAAAAAACTCAAGCAGAGCAGTCAAGTTTTGAAGAAGTGACATTAGCAAATGTAACCAAACCTAACGCAATCAGGACGGAAGAAATGCATTGATGTTCGAAGCTCGAGTCGGTGTGAGTCTCATTATTAAGTGAGATAATACAATTTCGATATCAACACTCAATTATTCCCTTATCAACACTGCCCAACCATTCTGTATTCTTTTAACAAGCAAGAATGAGTCGCCCCCCCCCCCCCCACCAATGATTTCACAAATTCTCCTAATTCAAAGGTGATATTTTATGCAAAGAAACGATTGCCTTTCATCTCGTATTCACCATCTCGATTGTATTGTTTCTTATCGCTATTGTTTCCCATTCCCTTTCGTTTCCAATATTGCGTGTGTAGCTTCTTGTGCTACATTCGCCCAATGTTACACTGTCACAGGACAGTAATCTGCTTTTAGGCAGATAGCTCAAGGAAACATCATCATTCACGTAAAAAAGGTAAAGCTGCAGCACTGACACTTCTTGCTCACACCATTGCTGGCAGATGCGTCTCCACGATAGGGAACTCCAGAGAGATGTTGGCCTACGCTTCAATGCTGGCCAGGTATTATTGCAAGAGGTGGGTGCACCCACACTTTATCCCACCATGCACAGACCTGTCGATTCACTTAATCGTGGTGTAGCCATTTATACTGCAGGGTGGTCTGCGCCAATCTTCTGCGCAAAGATTGTAATCTGTGTCAGTCTCAGTCTGAAGCGTAATTATACAATAGAGATAATAAAATAAGTTTCAGACCCTGACCGATCAACTGCTGGAATGAAGATCTCCCCCAAGACATCTCGGTCACTGGAGTCACGTGACCATACTTCACCAAATGCTGGTGGGGTGCGGGTTGGTGGAGTGTCCCACATCCCGTCCAAAATATCACTCAGTTCGCTGGGTTCAAAGTTCAGTGCATTCACCACCGAATTAATAATACTTGATTATTTCAATACAGTATACAACAGACCACCTACCTCCTTGTGTATACAGTATTTGAAAGGATTGACGTACAGCAGCAAAGTTGGCAAACCTTCCAAGCCCAATCGGGCATCGGATAAAAGGAGGAAACAAGGCATACTCTTCACACTGAAGTAATAACCGGCATTGTAAAGGTCAACTTTTGAACACCATTGCCATGTGACTGGCACATAATGGCCAGCTCTTTTGCTAACTGATATCCACGTTGCACACACACATACACACGTTGCAGGCTGACAAGAGAATTAGATGTATCTTGTTGCATTTTGAAAACGCAGAGAGTTCGTATCTGAATGCACAAATGTATGTAAACATCTGCGCAACATGTTTATTGACTGCACAATAGCTGTAATTAAAACGCTATGAAAATTGACGTTCCTGTGGAAGCCTTCCTGTTATTTAAATGATGACTACTTCATTACTATTGTGCGGCACAGGCATTTATCCTGTCCCATTGTCTCAAATGCTGCCACTCTCCCCCAACTCTCCTTCTGTTCCTGAAACACACAACTGCCCACTTTGTCCTAATTAGCCTCGGATTGGATAACGTTTTGCGAAACCGGCTTGTGGACACATATATATGCACTAAACCCGCTTGCATGAAGAAGACCAGCTGGTTAGCCATATATTCTTTCCTTCACTTCCATGGAGAGAAAAAAAAGACGTAGTTTCTTTATTTATTCTACAGCCCATGGCAATCGACGATTGGGTGAAGGCCTCCGAAGCCATCGTGCTCATGGGGGTTGTTTGACCATACTTCACCACACTGGTCAGTGCACGTACGTTGAAGAGCAGTGATGGGCAGGACTGGTTGAAATCTGCTGGACATCTGTGAAAAAGAGCTTCATAGTCCATCATATTCCTCCAGTGTCAATACGTATTCAGATTACGAGATATCACATATCAATGTGTATCACCATGGCTGGGAATTAAACTCAGCTCCCCGGTTTTAATGATATAATTTGAGAAAATGTGTCCATAGTAAATGAGAAGTCGGGCAAGAGGGATGTGCTTGAGAGCAATGTTTACTGAAGATGCAAAAGACCAAAAGTACCTGTTTTATATACATAGATCTGTTACACACAACACAGTTGCAGAAAAGTATATGAATCATGGCATTTGAAGTTTTTTTTGTATCTGTAGAAGCTGCAATAGACGATCACACTCGTCCAGTAATGGCAAAACTACTGCCTAGTTTAATATTTAAAAAAGTTTGTGCAGTGGTAAAACATATAGTAGCATTTTATATCCAATCGCTTTTGCAGTTTGAAATAACCGTAAGCCATTTAAAAAATATCTCTAAGTATTTATGAACAATATTGTTGTTCCGGTGAGCTGTTATGGCCTGCGACGACTGCTTTTAGGTTTATTATAAGGTGGCGCTTTATTGTACAAAATTTGTACCATCTCATTCGCCCCGCGACAGTAATAGATAAAGCAGCAGGCAACCGCTGAAAAATAGATGGGAAGAGGGAAAAGGGGAAGGGTGCGTTTCTGCTCTGTACAGCGCAGCAGTTAACCCATTGAGTGGACACTCTTCGTCGAGACTGTACAAAATTAGATCGCGACCTGGATTTGGACGCCCGCTTTTCCCTCCCGACGGTCGAAAGTTACCCCCCCCCCCTCTCTCTCGCTTAAAGCCGAAGAAGTCAACTCCTGTCCAAAGGGAGCAAGCGCCGTTTCCGTAACGTGCACAGGATAAACACGCCATGCACTTTGTTTCACTTTTTCCTGCAGTTTCAAAAACGTGTATTTATTTGATTATTTATACATGCGGTAGTTAAAAAAAAAACAGAGGCGGCCAGAAGAGGCAAGAGGGTTAAGGGAAGGGCCCATGTCCTGGTAACAATTGATTGCCCTTAGGAGAAGGGTGTAGACAATAGCAGTATCAGAGCAGGGCCCGTGGCCCTTATGAAAAGCTCGACACATCGATCCATCACTTCCAACCCACGTTTTTAGGGTGCACGCTTGCGAGCCAGCATGAAAAATAGAGATTTTTTTCCGTTCCCTTTTTTGTGTATACGCGTACTTCAAATGTCTCACAGGTCACAACCCTGTGATAACCGGCACTCACACTGCTCAACCCTGGATGACCACATTTTTACAAATTGGCACATTTGCAAGTTTTATATGTATGTCACTGATCGGCAAACACATTTGGGCACTTGTACAAAAACTTTTTCACCCAAAAAAATGAAATAAGTAATTCTAACTGGAAATTTTTATACAGGTAAAACCAACAATTTTAGTAATGTCATACCGTACGGTATTGTGAATTCAAATAATAATAGATTATATTCCATGAGCATATGTTCATACAGTGTAGTATTACACGTTTATAGGTCACAAGACAGCATTGTATTATGTGTGAGCTTTAATCCCACACGTTTGTATTTTTTTCAAAATTGAAACGGTTAAATCTATTGATGTCAGTTCAATTTTAAATATCAATATACCAAATTATCTACATCAATTTCAAATCATGGTGGTTCCAGTTCAAACGGTGACCTTTGGCGACCCCCGAATGCTCCTTTTGGATCATTGTGACCCCCTTACGGCCTGAGCCACAAATTTTAAAC